TGTGACGGCCTGGTCGGGACCTTCAGAGGATAGGGAAGTCCTAAGTCACCCGCCAGGCTCACGGCAGATCCCAGTAGCGCCGAGTGCATGACGCACCTCATTTGTGATGAGGCGACCTTGGGGTAGGGGTCTGGGGAGTCAACAGAGAAACACAGGTTCCTACATACTATCTAGAAGCTTGAGTAATCACCGATATAATTAGTCCCTTCTAGCTATACTTTAATATACTAAACTATACCATGCTATGCATGAAAGCCGGCAGCACTTATTGATTAAGGCCCTTGTATTATGATTCGAACCCATTTAACATAGGGTTCAGTTTGCGCTTTTCTTTCTTTTCAAAGGTGGAGGGGGTTTCCGAGACTTGAGGTTCTCTTAGGAGCTGCACGGATTTCGTTGTTCAGGGGTCCGAAACACAAGGATCTTTCCTCTTAGGATCTTATGCTGGGATCCCTGGGTGTTTGGGTGCTGGGACCCTATGGGTTACGATAAGTTTACGACTATGATGCTGACTTTGTGAGTTTATGAGCTTACTCTTCTAGGGTCTAGGGATGCTTTTGTACAATAGCCCCTAGGCTCTAAGCTTAACCTCCCACCCCAGCACGCTCATAAAAGCATACGCCAGTTGAGTACGACAGCCGAGGAATGAGCTGGCTATGGCACAGAAGTACTGAGAATCCTATCCTAAACCTTCAGTTCCCTCTCTGACGCACATGTACGAATCGTTGAATCGTAAATCTAATGCAGTGGCATCACCGCTTATTTCTTTCCAGTGTGCAGCACAACCAGCAGTAGAGCATTGAGGTTTAACACAATATCACCTACAAAACGCAAGTCGACAATCATTTAGCTCTGAGCCGCATAAGCCTAGATCAGAAGAGGCCCACATCCGGACTGCCGACATGGAGTTGCTTTTGCTGCTGGATCCCCATGTCTGTTGGTGTGCACCTAGGGTTTGAGACCGTCCCTTGAAGATCCGGACAAACAAGCGTTTTAAAGCTTCAGGTTAATACCGAAGACTGCCTGATAATCTGATAACGTGCCGTCCACGCGCACCCGACCTATAGTATCAGAGCTGCCTATTGCCACGTATCTTGTTGCAAGAGTGTGTCGACAGCTCACAGTATAAGGATCCCAGCAGATCTCCGATACTCTTCACGAACCGCCGCTTCAAGCTTCTGCATGTTAGAACTTTGCTGGCTGGGTTTTGTGCAAGACCATTTGTATGCGTGCACAAGCACTTACACACACACACGTCGCATATATATATATATATATATATCTATATATATATGTATATATATATATATATATATACACGCCATATGAATGCATGTCTGACTGGCTTGTTTGTCGATTTGTCTACGTCTCACTATGCAATGCCTGTCTGTTTGTTCGTCTGTCTGTCTGTCTGCCTGGGTATGTCAGCACCTAGGCACGTGCTCGGCGGGCTGTCACCAGTATCCGTACCTGTGGCACTCTAGCATGTCAGACTTGCATGGTGACAATGATGATGGTTGTCATATGCGCTGTTTCAACTTGGTCGGCTTTGCGGGTTGTGGAAATCTGTGTACAGGTCTGGTTAAAGTGGAAAATGATTCGGCCAGGGGGATGCTGCAGAGCTATATAGACGTCTGAATTCTGAATCATTTCTACTATTGTCGCATTATAGTCCCTGTAGAATTAAAAGCAGTGCATGTACCAAAAACACCCCTATATGAAGTCGAGAAGGAAGCGCAAAGGACCCCAGCCTTTCGTGAAGAGCACCGAGGACTCTGCGCTTGGTGCTACGGGTTAACCCGCATCTGAGACTTATTTTAATGCCCGGGCCTCAGACAGAGAGACAGAGAGAGAGTTCAGCCCGGGCACTTTGACCAGTCCCCAAGCCCAGGAGAGACAGAAAGAGAGAGAGAGAGAGAGAGACACAGAGAGAGAGATTTCAAGTATGACGTTCCCAGATTTGGATTTGAGCTTTGACGGTCTTGAGGCATGTGCGTTTGATCTGAAGGGTTGCCGTACGTCCGCTAAACTATCCTAGTTCTTGTCCTTTCCTTGGTGCTTTGAACAAACTCTTTCCGACTCCGTATGGTTCGGGGACGGGTGCGGCGGGGGGTGGGGGGTGAGGGTGGACCCTTGCCGGTACCTTAAAGCGGCAAATGCTGTGCAGGGAGCCTACAGGATGGACTTTCACTTTGCAGCGTTTGTGCGAAGCCGTTAGCATTTGGATCTGTGAAGATATCCAGGTCAGCCACTATCGAGGCACGGCATTTCTGCTTCGGAAAATCGCTGCAGGGGCATGCAGGGATGTTGCTACTTCTTTGGGGCTTTGCGGAAAGGAGAGATCGGTGTGGGCTCTGAACTACGTAGCGGTTGAGTTATGATGTACTGTCCAATGTTTCGACCGGTCGGTGTGTTTCATTGCGATTGCAGCACCCTCAAGTATGTCAAAGAGCGATTCCAGTCAAGATTCATCTCGCCAGGCGTGATAGGTACCCTGGTAGAGACCTCTGTCATGCCCAGTTTATGTGTTACAACAGCAGCACATAGCCTATGCCCGGCTTCTGCCACCCAACCAAAATGCACAAAGCCTTCTGCGCTGCAGGCGGATTTCTTCGGGAAGTATTTCGCCGAGTTTTCCGAGCAGCGGCCCTGGGATTCGGGACAAAGATGGGGAATTGATGGGGATGAAGAAGACAATGACGACGGAAGGTATGCTGACACGAACGTGATTAACAGGATGGGCCAACGAGGTGGTTGATGACAATGATGGCGATCGACGAGGGTGACAGACGCTGTTTTGGCGCGGATGAGGTGGAGGAGACGTGTGGCATGACGACCGCCGTGAGGGATGATGATCTTGTTGATGATAGTTCCGACGATGATGATAGATGGTAAGGGGAAAAGTAAGCAAGCGGATGACGAATGCAATGGGGATTGTCATGATGGTGATGATGCTGTTGGTCCATTGGTGGCGCTGGTGGAGGAGAAGATGCAGGTGGAAGAAACTTCAGGGGAACAAGCTAAAACCTAAATTCGTGAGTTGACATGAGTGCATATTTGGAAAGCCTTGCGATGTGTATGCGTGCAGGCAGTAGCAGGTAGGCCTGCGACTGGCAGCACATAGTAAGGCACTAGCTTCATTGAGGCATACATGAACAACATGTATAATTAGAATGAACATAAGGCTGACTAGAAGTCGCATGAAGCATAGTCAATGATTTGCATCGGGATGCGACCGGCAGCAGGATTTCCCGCATGATACTTTACGTGTTGCGCCCATGAGATAAGCATAACGGTTGCGATCTACAGCAACTGATGCCGTCAGTTCCTAGAAATATAAAGTCCAACGAACCCGCTGCTGCGCCGAGCTCTCGCGAGTTGGCAGGCTTTCTGAGCCCCCCTCTCCCCTTCTTCCCTCAGTCCTGCAGAGCCGTTTTGCTACACTGTACTGCTACATGCTAAAACTCAACTAAGGGACGACATCGCGCCAGTGCCGAAATATGTCGGCAACAGGCCAGATTCTTGGAGGGCACTGTTGAAGTCCGCTTCACTGTGTACTTGTGAAAGGTGTGTTTCAATCCGTTCAATGCATGCATCCGTGGATGCGAAAGGGTTCAGCAAATAGGTAGTTGCTCAGGGCATATCCGCCAAAGTCGCCGGCAACTCTATCTGAAGGTTTGCCTTATGGTTTTTTCGATCTCGGCCACCTGGGAACGACCAAAAGGTCAGCGCAGACTCATCTGCGACCGTGCACACGAGATTATTCGTATTTACAGCTTCGAGCTTCTGCTCAATCGCAGACGCAAATCTTGATATCGTTGTGGTTCGTATGATCATCGAATTCCTGTCTGTGCTCCCGCTTTAGTACAGCCCTGCCCTGCGGCATTTTTGCACCAGGCTCTTCCCCATACAGGCGGGCTGTTGCCGCGTGATGCTGCGGGAGAGGGCCTTGCATTCTGAACTGAGTTATGGAATGGAGTTGATTTTATTTCGGGCGAAATCCTGCGCAACCATTGTTCGACCTCAATTGGTATTGTCTCATCCTGTACGCCTTACCAACCCTATATCCAAAACTATGACGTCCGGATGCGGAGCCGCCTAGTAGTATCCTAGGTCCTAGCATGAACCCATGGAAGGACATCGATCGAATGAGCTGCCACAAGCAGGACTGAAATTGAATGTTCCATGCATGTCTTACATGATACGAAACCCGCTAAGGCCAGGGCTTGCCAAAAACTTCACCATGTAGATCCATGTAGCTTTATATACCTATTTATAACGACCAAAGAAAGTCAAGAAGGGCAGCGCCACGGCTTGTGTCCGCGCGTTGCGCTGGCGGTCTCTTCGAAAACACCAACTCTTTTCCGCTCAAACTAAGAATGGAAGCAGTCCAGGTGTTTCACTTAGATGACCTGGCCAAGGGTCAAGCACCTGGAGGCCAGACGGAGTTACATGTGACCTCCAGCAAAGTAGTCTTGAATTCAAGCGTTTCATGGGCTTTCGCATAAGAGGACCATACTGTAGAGGCCTTAATAATCACCTGTACTACTTTGGGGTTTCCTTTTTTTAGCATACCATCATACCCCAAAGCCCTATTCTAAGTATTAAGGCCTATGGTAGGCCCTAAGGAGATGGACCTCTGCTCCAGGCTCCGAGGTGCATTTCGGAGCACACTTCATTTCTGTCGCCGATGCGTTGAATCCAAGGAATCTCCGGTAGGTCCGGAATAGGCCTGGGGGCAGCCTGAAAGAAGAGATTGTAGCAGTATATCAGTAGACAACCATCTATGAGACCAGCTTGCAGTCCAGACTGACGGAGGTCATTTAGCTTTCATGCTTGAAGCTTGCAATGGAGAGCCGAAACGGTCCTCCAGGACCTGCATGAGACGAAATGCCGAAATCCCCCGAAGTAAAGCCCTAAGCTATACAGCGACTTTCCATCTGGGCGCCGTGGAAGATGCCATGGCGCGCCAAGATGCCGGCGATGCAGCCTAACGGGGGATGGTGGTCCTCGACTGCATCATCCCTGCTCACGAGAAAGACTTCGAGACACTGAGTCATTGCATCCGATCGTTGCGGCGCTGTTGTCCAGGGGTCCGGCGAATCCTGGTGGTGAGCAAGATTCCGTGGGATGATGCCACTGTGGAGGACTGTGCTGTAGAGTGGGTTGACGAGGCCGACCCCCGATGGCCCTTCCGCCTTTGTGACATCACGGACTGCGGGTGCGCGCCCGGCTGGCTGTTCCAGCAGCTGCTCAAACTACATGGTCCCTTGCTGTTGGACGGCCTCACGGACCATGTCCTCGTTTGCGATGCTGATGTGGTTTGGCTGCTTCAAGATTCGCCTCTGACGTTCTTCACGCCCGAGGCCGAGTCCCTGCTCTGCACGTTTGACTCAGACGGGTGCCCCCCGATTCGAAGCGCCGTCGACCTCCACCGCTACGATGCTTTTCCGGCTGCCTTGCTGCCTGGTCTTCAGAAGCCAAGGCTTGGATCTCAGACCGCAGTTTGCCACCATAGTGTGCTGGACACATCCGTGCTGCGGGCGCTCTTTGAGGAGGTGGCGGAGGTCTGCCCCGGCCAAGCTTTCTGGGAGGCGTTCGTGGCTGCGGCCCGGGCTTGCGGTGGGCGTGCGTCGGAGTATGAGCTGTACCACGCCTTTGCATCCAGCCGCTTTCCCCTGAAAGTACGGACTCGAGCGTTGCCTTTTGCCGTGGTGGCAGATATTCAGGCTACAATGGACGATCCACCGGCCGGCGTGGCCTTCGCAGTGGCACACTCCCACCTGCGCGGCCTCGATGTGGCGGACTTGCAAGACCGTGTTGGTATCATCAACGGCAACACGGAGGGCGAGATTGTGAGACGCCTCGCTGGCCAGTACTTGGACGAAGAGTCGGCCAGTGAGCTGGGCGCACTCTGGCAAGCGCGCGGAAGTGAGCGCTCGTGGAGAAATGTTTCGGCTTGTCCAGTTCAGTTCTGCTCCTTCAGGTGTGCTTGCCTTCATCATTGCTTCGTGCATACTAGCTACCCAATGCTGAACTCGAGCCCGACGCCAAGCTGCGAAAGAACCCTAAACCTTATCCCCTGGAATTTGCAGGCCGGGAGCTTTCCAACAGTCTGAGGAAGCGAACGTCAAAGCTCACGAAGAAGGCCTGCGACCGGGGCGTCATAGATGTAAAGCCGTAGCCTGCGTACGAGTTTGTACCACTGGCCTGGAAAGTGATCGTCATCCGTCATCAACTCAACCTTCATCCTCGTCATCATCGCCGCTTGCATCAGCATCCTTGTCCATGTCATGATCTTGAGTATGAGTAGTTCGCAGTAGCAGCGATGTTGTTCCGTCATCAACAACAGCAGCACGACGAAGCGGCGAAATGTTGCAGATCGCGATCCTGCATAGCCCGTATGCTTGAATCCGAAAACCTACAGTCTCGTGTGGGGGGGGGGTGCAGAAGTGTAGCACTGTCCCTGAGGCCATTTATTTAGACAGGGGCCGACTCATCAATCGCGGGGCTGCTAGATTATTTTTGTTGGTTTCCACGCCTTGATCCGGGGAGCTTCAGACCGACTCAGACTCGAAGTACGCTTTCTGTAACTTGTGTTTGCCGCCTTAACAAGCCCTGAGCGTCTCCGAGCCTAGATTTTTCCTGCGGATCTGGTGAAATCTTGCCGTGGAACAGCCCCGGAGGCCGGGGTTTTAGGCTTTGAGATAGCGTTGATTTTTCGGATTTAGGCTTTAAGGTGGGTTTAGGGTTGCAGATTGGATTTAGGATTTCAGCACGGTCTGAGATGAGGTTTAGGATTTGGTAGGGTTGCTTTGGCATTTGCTGAGGCACTTCAGAATGCAACGGCCTGTCTTTGCCATAGTCTTCACTTGAGTGTCAGGAAGTTCTGTTGCCGTCACGGCTTGTACTCACACTTGAAATCGTCAGTCAGCATTGGCATCGTGAGATCATGGACTGTAGCCAGCAGTGCTACAGCTTGGCGCGATGCTGCTGTTGCCTCTCACTTTTCCCCGGCAAGCCCGGATGCAAAAAAGCTGGGTTTGAGATGGGGTTTAGGGTTTCGGATGGGGTACAACGGTTTCGTCTCATTGGACGGACAAGTCCATTCTTCTCTGGATCCTTGGCAACAAGTCGGAGGGTCGTGCTTTGGCAGGCAGCAACGCAGTTCAGGGTTGAAGGTAGGGCTTACCGGGCTCAGGGTTTAAGGTTTACTACTGGGTCTTGGGTTTTAAAAAGGGTTTACTGCATTGCAGTCCTTGCTCGAAAAGGGTTTACTCGAAACTCATATTAACTCGAGTTTCTAGGGCATTCTAGGTTTCATTTTTGTAGTTTCACGAGTAGGCACGAGTGCTGCCGAAGCAGGCCTGAGAGAGAGAGAGAGAGAGAGAGAGAGACATCGGGAGAGGGAGAGGGAGACAGTTTGGCTCAAGTTCCCTTAATGGGGTCTTGTGTCAGGTGTCTCGAGCAAGCGGGGATTGACCGCATACATTCCACATTTCACAGCTTCACTACATGCACTTGCACACACACACACATTTACATTGATAATGCCTGACAACGATGGAAGGAGATAGACGTTTTATGTGTAAGATTACATATGGTACCTTAGGGGATTTGGGTTGCTCGTTGGGTCGTCATGTTGTTCATGCTGTTGCTTCCGTTTCTGCTGTGTTTTGCTGTGGCGCCTGAAGAAAGGGTCTGCAAAACGGAGGAATGGTGCCTTTTTGTGCAAGCCGGCATCGGGAGTCACGAGGTGACAAAATTTGTCGATTGGCTTCAGGCCTTCGTGGGTGGCGCTTCAACTTCGAAGGTGGAAGCCACAAAAGGAACGGGAGCGGCAAAAATCCGAGTGGACGCTACGCTCGGATTCCGAGCTCCACGTGGCTGGCGTAACTGGGCCGCCTTTGCGGAGGAGGTGGTGGAGGACTCTGCACCACTTTCACGCCGACGTTACCGTCGGTGGAAGTGTCCTTCGTCGGGTTCCTCACGGGTGTCCCGCGTATTGCCCGCGTCCTGCAGGCCCCCGCAAGAGTCCTGCCGGCTCCCGAGTGGCTGAACCGTCCAGATAGGAATGTCAGCTGCCCATCGTGCGCAGGGCAGTGCTGTGTCCAAAGGCGACATCCATCGAGGCATCACAGAGCTCCGATGTGTCGCAGGCTCCGACACCCAGAAGCAAGCAGACCCCTAACCTCCCATATAGTTCCTTGTAATAGAACCAGATAGAATCCGCGGCTTAGGCCGTGAACAAAGGCAACCGCGGTGTCTTGCGCAAACGCATAAATCTAAGCACGAATCCTAAATGTAGATGTAGATGCATGTGTATATATATATATAGGTATACATATAGATAGATGGGTACATGTCCATTTATGCGGTTGTTTATGTGTGTTGCTGCTGTTGTTGACGTGTTTGGTTCTTTGTGTGCTTATTTTATTGTTTTCCAACCAACACATGATAATTTCACTGTATAATGGAGCGAAATACAAAATAAGATGTATGCAAGTAAGTCTGTGTGTTTGTTTGTTTGCTTGTTTGCTTGCTTGTTTGTTTGTGTTATGAATTACATTCTATACATGTGTATCTCTCTATATATATATGCATATACACATGTACACATACCTCTTAGACCATCGCACCGCCAGTGAAGGTTCCGCTCGAGAGCAGCTTTCAGCCCAAGGTGGGCCTCGGGTGTTTTCAACACCAGCAAAGAGGGGCTAAAATTGCAAGATTTTTGATGCCAAGCATCCCATATTCGCAGCAACAATAAAAAGAAACGATGGCAGTAATGCTTCTTTTTTGGAACTGCAGTATGTGTGAAGAGTCTTCCACCCGGTGCTTCAGGATGGCCCGGCTTTCTCTCTGGGCTGCCGTGTGTTTGTTGGCCCATGCCTCCGCCAGGTGCAGCCTTCTGCTCGTGAGCTCGTGCAGGACTGCGGCTGCATGCTGCTGGCATGTATGGCAAAAGGCCTGAAGTAGTTGAGTATCTCTCGGAGCTCTCTCGCCTTTAGCTAAGTTAAGACTCAGAACGGGTCGATACCTTGCAGCAATCCGAAGAGAGGAGCTCATCCCAGAGGTCGCAGAAGGAGGGTGCGGCCCTTGGTTTCCAGCAAGTGCTCCCGTGACGTTTGGGATGTAGTTTGGAGTCGAAGCCGGAGCCATTCTGGAACCGAAGTTGTTGAAAGCTTGCTGCTTGAATTCAGACGGCGACTATGCAGGCTTGCGCATACCATATTTGTTCACTCTTCTCAGATATTCGCTCAGGCTGGTTGACTCTCTGTCTCCCTCGCTCTCCTCGGATGCGTCTAGCTACACACATGCGCGATAAACAGCACAAATACAGGTACATCCGTATATGCATTCGCTTTTTTTTCCTATGTGTGTGTGTGTTTGTACTATATGTATATGTATGTACATATGTATATATATATATGTACACATACTTATTATGTTTGGTCGTGTGTTCACTTGTGTCTTGGCTTATTTCTACTATAGTAATAAGGTATATTTCCACAGATAGCCGCATACCTTTGAAAATGTGTCTTGCTTTTTTCGGCATCGGGACTTAGGTCGACCATTCTTATCTTTGTGCCCGGCTATGCCGACCTTCTCCGCATGCACAGCTGGCTTTACTGGAATTTGCCTGGAGCTTAGCTGACCGAAACCGAGCCACCTGATGCTGGTTTGAGCCATGCAAGCTAGGCTGGTATGCATGAGTTGGGCATGAGCTGCGTCAGGTGTGTCCGTCATTCGGCATGGCGCACTCTGAGATTGGAACAAACAAGTCTGGTTTGCTTGCCTTCGGATTCGTTCACTCTCTAATAAACTGTGTCTTGCTTGAAGCTTGGAACCACGTAAACTCTCAGGAGCTTCTTTGCATTGCGTAGAAGTAGGACCTTGGGACATATTTCATGCGATGTTGTACTATTCAACTCACAAGTATATGGTATGATGTTATACTATGTTGCATTGCGTTGCATTATACTCCTAAGCCTCAAGCCCTGCATGGCACTGCTTATTCTCGAACCCTGAGTCTTGATCGCCACGCGCTACAAAGCTTTCATGAGCGTGGCCCTTGAGCGAGGCCCACAGTTGGATCCGTGAACATGGGCTATGTGAAGCCCGACACGCTTCTGGTTTAGGCAACAGAAGTCACCAACTTTGCAATCGCAGTTGAGTGAGGACTTGCCCGTCGTTTCCCGAGCGGTCGTTGTAGTCTCAACCAGTCCACTTCGGGCATACGTATGGACTTCTGTTAAATTTGCACGGTGTGTCCTGAAATTCCCCCGGCTGATATGGTTCTTTAGCATGATGGACAATCCAGACTCCAGCAACAAAGGGTCACATGTCAGCACACCTGCACTCTGCTTGTGCGCTGGGTGCCCCAAGGCCAAGAGGTCACAGACTTCATGTGCAGATCCTGGTTTTGGTAAAGGTCTTGCTATTTTGTGCGAAGTCCAACATTGAAGTGACCAATCTCCGGCCGAAGCTCTGTGGTTTACTTACAGCCCAAGGTTGAAGTTTGAAGGCCCCAGCCAAGCAGAGGAGTGCACTGAGGAGGGGCAGAGCTGTCGACGGTCAGATGCCCTCTCTCGCCGCTTTTGCCTTTCTTGATTTTTCCCGTCTGTACGTCATGTGCTGTGGGGCTCCGAAGCTTGAACAACTCAAGGACAGACTTTGCACTGACCGGGTGCCTCCAGAATCGGATCATTCGAAAGTGGAGCTCCAAGCATCCCTCGGGCAGCTAGGGATCTTATTAGGGCTGCCAGAAGGGTTTGTAGGGGGTTCTCCTCGGGGCTCACATGCCCCACGGAGGCATGTGGGCTTCGGCGGCTCGTGGGGCTCGTGGAAAACTTTGACAGATGCATGCTAGTGCCAGGTTCCACCGAAGCCAGACCAGCTGCCTGAGGATGACGAGGAGGACGCCGTAGAGTCTCAGGTGTTGCTCCCGAAGTTCTAAACCCATTATGATGGTTCAGCCTTCTCTACGGAAGTG